TCCTTTCAACCGCAATTTAAAATAGGCACCTGGGCACTAATTAGAGTAAATATGGCATTGGAGTGGTCCACAATACAGTGGAACCTCGATTTAACGAAGTGCCAAAGGGCATGGGAAATTGGTTCGTTATATCGAGGCTTCGTTATGTACAGTGGAGCCTCGATTTAACGAACCTCTATATAACGAAGTCCTCGGTAGAACTTGAACGAGCGATTCTTCTATTACAGTCCGGATAAAGTTACAATAAAATGTAAGCCACAGAACCTCGATATAACGAACCCTTGAAATAACGAACCAATTTACCCAGTCCCTTGACACTTCGTTAAATCGAGGTTCCACTGTATCGAGGTTCTGTGGCTTACTTTTCATTGAAAGACTGAACGTTCTACCGAGGACTTCGTTATTTAGAGGTTCGTAAAGTCGCGGTTCCACTGCATATTGCAAGAGCCGCATTTCCGAAAATCATCCGACTCGACAACTCGTCACCGGTACCCTTCGGTTGTACCTTTAGCCTGTGGAATAGCCCATTTACGAATCACCTAAGCGAGCCCTGGTGCTCATCCTTTGATATGATAATAAGTTTTCATTCACATGTAAATTAAACTCATTTTCACAAGAATGGTGGAGCACCAAACCTCGTTTTGAAAAAGAGCCAATAGGTAATTCACGACCTAATGATAAGGGCCGGCTTGCTCGCAAGTCTCTCAATTTTCCCGCTTAAAGCCCACAGTAAGTGCTGCAAGCGTTTTTATTCTTGCGGGTGAGATTTCAAGTTTCAAGGAAAAAATACATATCACTTAGTTATTGTATCGTTCTGTTTGCAAAGAGAAGCCTGAAGTATTTAGTACTCATTTTTAATGGCGCAGAGAGACAAGTATTCAGTAACACAGTACAGCAAAACCCTTTATTCAAACAAACTAAATGAAGTTTTCTACCCTTGAATTTACATGAAATACCCAGCTCTCTTTCACAAACTATACTACGGGGATGTGAAAGGGTTACTCTGATGTAAAGATGGACCCACGTCTCCTATTTTCCGTGGGAAAATCAACTTCGTTCCCAGGGTCCTCTTTATTCCTCCCACCAGGGAAGAAGATAAAGGACCTCGGGAACGACGTTGTTGGTTGTTTTTGATTTTGTTTCGATTTTTAAAATGACGCTTTGCAAGAAGAGCTCTTCCAACTGATCACAGGACAAAATAAGAACATCATCAAAACATTCGGTGAACCAAGCGCCGTGTTGACATGAACCAAGGTAATACATTTTTGAAGATAACCAGAGAGTAATACTACCTAAATGTCTCAAATGCAACTTAATACAGTAAAATTACAAAAATAAAAACTGGCCGCTCAGTTTTAGATATTAGTAAAGAATAACATCATAAAGAAAGAAACAAACAGCGCCTTCAATACGCCATTTATGCGACCAGCGGAAGAATCTTTGGTCACCCCATCGCATATTTCCTTTCCGGTCGCCCCAGGATCACGCTTGGTGGTGCAGAAAGGATTATGGTCACTAAAACTCAGATCAGATATTTCCTGGAGCTGAGAGGAAAAGGTACAGTTGGACTTCATCAGATTCTTCAGACATTTCTTTGCATCAGCTTGTTCCCTGTGCAAAATAAATAAATAAATAAATAAATGGATCTTGCAAAAAAATTCCTCAAAAACTGTGCTGAAGTGTCTTAGGCTCCATTTCGGCCACCATTGCTCAGGGAAAAAGGTTGCTTCCAAATAATTATCTACAATGGCTGGAATTAAATTTGGACTTCACTCACAAAACGATGTTTTGGGGGGAATAGGAGGGGGAATAAGGGGGGAATAGGGGGGTGAGGGGAGGTTGTGAAATTGTCCCACGGATACCCCTGTTATTTTGATGAGGGAACACTCTCCGACTCACCCTCTGAGAGACAACGGTTCATTTACTGATACTTACTTGCAAAGAGCAGGATCCGATGCGTTTGCAAAAAATATTTCATGGTAGTTCTTCACACACGCGCTTGATTCATTGTTGAAAGATGCGGTGCATGGTAAAACTGGAAGCAATTTACCAAGAATGTTGGCTGGGGTGTCTATTGCCCCTTTACTGCACAAGAGATCTACTCCGAAATTCTGTTCAATTTGTCCTTTTAGGAGACTTGATGGAAAGTTTTCATCAGTACAAGAATTCAAAGTGTTTGTGGCACAATTCAGCATTTCATCGTGAAGATCACTGAAATGTATAATATGATTTACTCATTAGCTGTTAATTTACTTCTACTGGCTAATTATGATTACCCGGTATGGGCTCCTGTTATTAATGAATAACTGGTTGCTTGATCGATCAATTGATGGGAAGAGGTGGGGGAGGTTCTTGCGTGATACGGGATTAAGTGTTTTTGATTTTCACGACCAATGAAGATACGAAATTAAAACCCCGTGATACGTGAACCTTTTGGTTATTTATTCGATTTTTCGTGGTTCCTTATTTCTATTTTTTTTTTTTTTTTCACGGTACGTGAAACGTGCGCAGGATCCGCTTCCCCCTCCTTCCCCTGACCTAACCTCCCCGTCATTGATTATTTAGTCTCGTTTATTGTTTGATTGATTGATTGACTGCCTGAGTGGGGGAGGGGTGTAAGTTTTAAATAAACTGTGGTGCTGCTTCAGTGGGAGTATTTCAAGATAATTTGTCTGTCTACACGGAGTTGATAACGCGAAGCGACACTAAAATGAAAATATACTTACGTTACCGGTTCTAAAAAATGAAAGGTTCTTGTTTTTATTTTTCGGACAAATTTCTTAAAGGGACCTGTCATAATTTATTATACGGAGGAGTGGGAGAGGGTCTGCTATGTAGTATGATCCCCCTCACAGTCAATTTTCCATAGTCTCCCCTTTATTCTCTGTCGGTTACTACTGATCCCCTCCTCTGCTCCGCTGAAAGCCATGTGATCCCCCAAAAATTCCCCCCCCCTCTCCTTTCGGCGAAAACAATGCCTGGTCGACTAGTCGCCTTGACATAGGAGTGGTTGTAGTATACCAGGACAGCGGTTGAACATGTGAAAGTATACTTCCGGGAGAGTGTGAGCGCGGGAAGAGAGTGTTAAAAACGATTATTGTGTGTACTGTTGTCTTTCGCCTTCGTTGCCATGTTCCCACCAATAACGTAGCTCCATTTTCTGCCTTTAAAGGCTCTCTCAGTGTCAACCTACCTACAGTTTCCTTTGGGATCTTTTTGTCGCTCTATGAAGAAGTCTGTTTCACATTTACGTACTTTACAGTAGTATTCCGTATATGTGCATTTTCCAATTTTCGGCAGGGCAGCTTCACTTTCCACAACAAATACTATTAACGTCCAAAACAAAAACATCGTCACGAAATTATTAAATTACCGTACTAGCTCTATATTTAAATGGATGGAAACTACATATCGTCTGAAACGCGATAAGTCACAATTCCTTACATTTTATTTAGCTGTGCTAGACAAAATGACGGTACAAAATTTTGTTAACTCCTCTTTCCAAATATTGCGCGATTCAAGACGTCACGCAACAGGTTGCTTTGTTTCACAAGCAACCATGGAGTTCAGTTGAAAATTTGAATATGCATTTCAATTTGGGGTAATACCTGCGCGCAAAAAATTATGAATATTTGGGGTGAACAAAGAGGGAGGCAAAAAAGTAATGAATGTAGGGTGGTTTGCACAACGCATTTCGCGATTTTAGTATAAGTCTAATTTGTAAGATGAAAGGAAAATTTACAGGAGTGTTTCTATCCCAGAACCCGAATGAATAACCATCTGCTTTGAACCGAAACAAAATTCGCTTGGTACAGTTCTAATCAAGAGTTATTCGATGAGAAACATTCTTAAAAAAAAAAAAACTAAAAAAAAAGAAAGGAGACCATTTAGAGAATATCACAGATAAGTTTCTTATTTCGGCGAGAACCATTCTTTGAAAAACAGAGAGAAAGGAATTTACAGGATTTATGTCGAAGACAACGCTCTTAATTCTGTTGGTTTATATTATATTTCGGTGTAAGTTTCAGTGATCATTGAAGTGATTTGTCTTTCGAGCTCAGCGAAATTGGCTAAGAGTATTGAGGGCTGACACAGCTACGAAGTTTTCCTTGTTTTATTCGGAAATGTTCTGATCTCGATCTAAAATCTACGAAGCGGACATAATACGGCCATGTTCAATTTCACTGGTCGTCAGGCGAAGGATTAAAACCACCCTACCTTAAGGTTTCTGATCCAGTCAACTTTAACGTCATTGAGCTTTACTTACCCAAGGAAAAGGCTGCAAATAAAATCGAGGTCATCTTCAGCTCCTAGGTTTCTCTAACTTCAACTCGTGTCCCTCCTTGAGAGCATAAATATGCACACAACAGGGCGTCGGCTCAGGTTGACAAAAGAAGTGATTACTGCGAAGGTCGCTTTGTCAAAAGAAGTGATT